TCATACTGATAAATAGTAGAAGTATAGGTCGATTCAATATCGATATTGTCGACTTCAAAATAACAGAGATAAAAAAGATAAACTTCAGAGACTTTCTAACTATTAAAGTCGACAATAATATTAATAAATGTTTGGCACTTCAGAATTAGTTACTTGTTCAATGTAAAACAAAAATTTAAATGTTTATTGCCCGATTGTCTGGAGAACAGAAACGAAACGTTTGGTCACGTGAATATAGTGGATTTCGTATAACAGGTCCGAGCCGGCCAAGTTAACTCGAGATAAAAGATATTTTACATAAAATCGAAAACGAGTTATTTGGGAATATATCCTTGAGGGGTTAATAGGCTGGTAACGTTGTTTAAATTTAAAACAACTTCCTACCAGTTTCCTTACCTCGAGATGGCTGCGAACATTGGAGATTGAGGACTTTTATTGAAACGGCATAAGCTGCTGTTTTCCTCGAAAATAAATACTGAATTTCAAAGATACAGTGGATTACTAATTCGTACAACTAATATTATTTTTACAGTTCCTTGTGAAAAATATACAACAGCAAGTAAAACCAAATTTGTCCTAATACAAATTTTTATTATTCTTTACTGTCCGGAGTGTATTAAGTGCACCAATATATTAAAAAAAGTTCTAGCCATAACTCTGTATAAACGGAATAAAAAGATACAAAAAATAAAAATTCCATGTAGCCAAGTGATGGCTTAAGAAAAATCGTGCCAACTTTCTTCATGTCCTAAAATACTTCTTACAAAATAGATGAAAAGGCTTACATCCGTGCAGATTATTATACATACAATCACTCTTCCAGCATGATAATTTTCTAACAATAAAGATGATAATAAAAAGTAACGACGTTTTCAAGAACTGTAACCACACTTGCTCCTGTACAAAGTCCCAGCTCTCTTAATTATTATTTCACGTTGATTAATCTAAATGAACGAAAACGATCCAGCGTAATCAACCGAAGCATTGCGAAACGTCGCTAACGATGTCCGCGTAAAGAATGATCACTTTCATAAAATGTGCCAGCTCTTTATATAGATTTTTCGTCCCTTCGGAGAAAGGGGGCAAAGAGTAACCAGTTCCACGATCGGATACGCAAACCAAAACGAAAACACTCGGTACGGTATAACATGCTCGCCTCGATTACAAAGAAACAGGAACGTTTCGCGTTTCTCGTGACATAATGCATCGACACGCGCTTCCTGTAAAAAGACGCGTCAACGTTTTCCGACACCTGAGACATGCACATGTTCCTTTGCCCAAAAAGATTCCGCCAACTTCACGCGGCGTATTACGAGATCCATTTTGTCTCGCTGGTAAAAACTTAATTGAAAATATGAGTCGGCTGTAACGTAACTTTCCACAAATACCGGGAACTTTCTGAATGAGTCGAGTCTTTTCGAGAATACGTATTACGAGAATAGGTCTCTCCAGCAGAGTCCCGTATTATGTCACGTCGAAAAAGCGATAAAATAGTAGCCTAGTATACCTACCTTCCTAGAAATCACAAAAACCAACAATCACGGAAGCTACGGCGTCCAAAAAAAAAAATTCTCCGCCCCCCAGCTATCGATTACGATTCACCTGCGAATCGTCCTCCGTGTAACCGCGATAACGATCGATGGAATCCAACCGATCCCGCTTCCGTTCATCTTCACGGCCGGATCGAGGATCTCCTTCGTCCGAGCACGCTCCACGGGCTGATCCCTCTCTTCAGGATCAACGCCGCCGCCGTCGTTGTCGGCCAGGTGAAAGAGAAAAAGAGAGGACGGAGGCCTTAAGCGTAGCGTGGAGGTGGCGCCAGGCCCCTCCTTCTAATAAAAGCCGCTCACTAAGCTCCGTTACACAGACAGTCACAGAAAAGCCGACGAGAGCAGGAGACGCCGCGAGCTCCTCTTCTGGGTCCGATTTCCGAAGCGGTTGCGAGAAAAACATATAATAGTTACCGAAAGTGACAGGATTAAAATATTAAACGAAAAACGGTGTGTGGTGAGTTCCTGGAACGGGCGATCCCCTGCAATTATCCCAGTGAATAAATAACATAGAGGGACACGAGGACCACGTGAGAGACACGGGTACTTCCGGTGATCAGTGAGGGAACTGTCGAGAGTCCCGGATTCTTTTGCGCACCTGGACGATTTCACGATAAAGTAAACAAGTATGATATGTGGCAGAAATGTAGGAGGATTGTACTATGGGAAGGAATTTTTTTGTTGAAATTCGTGGCTACATTAACAACAATTTAACCAGTAGGGAATTCAATGTAGTTCCAATGTGATATGATATATATTTTTTATCTTCTGTGTTGTCGAAATGGGAAAAGATTGTGGGAGCAAATATTGAATAGTTTTTAGAATGGGTTGCAAATTATTTCAAATCGAACACGGAAATAGGGGACCACTTACTGGCACAGCTAATAGATAATACATTCTACTGCTTCTTGCGTTTACTATCGTCATTTCTGTGCAAACATATGTAGTTGATAGAAATGAACTCTTGTTCGCGAGTATTAGAGCTTCGAAAACCTTGATGCTTCAAGAATCATTAATATATTATTGTTAGGATCTCGTGTACATATTGCTTAGAGAATATTAAAGCTGAACAATTAACTGAATGAAAATTGTGCAAAATACGTAACGCTTATGAATAGACTGCTGATGTTTTTGCAATTATAGCATCCCGTAACTTGGAAAGTGCAATAAAGTAAAGATTTTAATAAAGATTAATATTACTTTTGTGTCATTATTAACGTTGTAAAGCCTCTAGTACAAAAGTCAAAATTCTATCCCATTTTAATTCTCAGATATTCGTATCTAAAATTGTGAATTTGCATAAACTTCCGCAGTCTACTTATGAAGCGTCGCGTTTTCTTCAGTAATAATACCAATTAGAAGCACTCAACGTGAACAAGTTTACATTGACGGCGACGTAAGTGACGAATACGAAAAATTTCAATAAGCAGTTATTCGAACGAAATATTTCCGAACAACACGAAAAAAAAATACTAAATTTTTAAATTTAAACGCAGTTTTTTCCGCGACGTGTGTAGCAGGGACTCGCAAATTAATCCTTTTGAAGGAACGCTCGACAGTTTCCCGCGTGTTTTCGCATTGTTCGATCTTCCTCCTCGAGTTCCTGTTCGGAACAGAGCATTCGCGGACGCGCAAGAATCGCCGGAGTGAAAATCTTCGTGAAGTGGTTTTCGGGCCAGAAACAGGACGGGCTCGAGGAGAAAATCGAAACCTCGCGAAGAAAAATCCGTTTCCCCGTGCAACTGGTGACATTCACTCGGGACGCACGTGTTGTTTTTTTTTTTTTCGTCATTTTGCCCGAATGTGTCATTGTCGAAACGCTCGATTATTTTCCTCTCGGAGCGAAGAACGGTCCACACCTGTCACAGGCCTTTCCTTTCTCTCTTGGATACGAAAAGTGCTGGCCAATTTTCTGCGACGGTCGCCGCGCAATTTCGAAAGTAACGATTCTGTGACATGTGTCCTTTTCGTTAGCTACCTTGGAAATAATCTCCTAATTGTTTTGATAAATATTATCGTCAATTTACATATTTCATGTATAACTTAAAGATGATTTTTTAGAGTGTAGTTTGAACGTGATTTTTACAACAGAGGCAAATTGATAATTGAAATTGCTAATATTCGACCTCGAGCGGCCACATTGTTGCATCATGGGTTAGAGAGACGTGCGTACTGAATCCATATTGGCTGGAAGTGTCGCCACCATTGTTTTCTGGCTGCTCGGCTACTGCAATTATAGTACTCGTTTCGGCGTCGAATCGAACGGCAATACCACTTGAATTTCTAGCTTGCTACGGGCCGTGCGCAATGAAAACTAACACGTTCATGACAAGAGCTAGAAAAGTTGCAAAATACTCGAACACTGTCGTTAACAAATCGATCGTTTATGGAAAAAGAATATTTTCAACTTATCTGAATTCCATGAAATAGTAAGCCACGCTATCTTCTATATTCTCGTCTTTTTTAAATCTTCGAACATTACAGGTAATCACACGTTTCCCCGGCAACATTGTACAAAAAGAAGGAAAGTTACTCGCAACCGTTCCCGTCGGTAAAAAGAACATTTCTTTTCATGTTTCACAAGTAACTGTAACAATTCTAGACAATTAAACTAAAGAAACTGCCTTTTTCGAAAGAAAGTACGATTCAGAAATTTTCCTAGAATTTCCAGCTTGATTGTACTAGAATATAAACCAATTTCAAACTCCTCGCGTACACAATGCATAATAGATACCTACCTGTAATAATTCTAGACAATTAGACAAAAGAAACTGTCGTTTTTCGGACAATAGTATGATTCAAAAATTTTCCTAGAGTTTCCACCTTGATTATAAATATAAACAATATTCAAATGTCTCGCGTATTACATGCATAATAGATACCTGTAACAGTTCTAGACAATTAGACTAAAGAAACTGTCTTTTTTCGGACGAAAGTACGATTGAAAAATTTTCCTAGAGATTCTAGCATGTTCATACTAGAATTTAAACGAATTTCCAATTTCTCGCGTATTAGCCGCGTAATAGATAATGAAGCGTAAATTGACAGAATAGCAGGTAAGGTAATCGACCAATGATAAAACGCCGCGTTCGTCCATCTTTCTTCGAGAATCTCCCGGCGTTCAAGATGCCAACGGCATTCTCGACTTTCATTCTGGTCGAAAGTGATAGTTTCGAACGTGTATCCACGCTCGAGAAAGGAGAGCCATTGCTCCTCCCCTCCCACCTCCGCGAATATCACCTGGCCTCCCTCGCGTTCTCCCGTCTTTGTCTTCGGAATCCTCTCGACCGGTTTCCGGTCCATCCTTAAAAAAAAAAATTACGGAACATCCAGCACCTTTCTCCTCTCCCCGTCAAAATTCTCGACAATCAAACATCTCGGAAACGACGCAGCACCATTAACGTGGTCTTTATTTCGTTTCCAGGTACATACAGTCAATCCAGCCGAACAATGAAGTCCACGCTCGTCATCTTGGTGGCCGTGCTGTGCATGGCTTTGGTCAATTCCCATCCGGTTCCCGAAGGAGAACGTCTTCGGTCCGAGGTAAGCGTCGAGCAAAAGAAACGAAACAAAAAATACAACGACGTTCACGAACGTCTTTTCTCGTGAGCCAGAGTTTGCAAGAAATCGTTTTGAATTCGATTCCAAGACTGCCTTGGATATTACAGGGACGCTGCACGTTTGAACTCTATATATAGTAACTTCGAGTAAGCAATTCGAGAAATAAGTTGATCATGCAAACTGGACGTGCACCTTGTGGGGAACAAAGGTGTATTGATACAGGAATGTCGTGCAAGCTGGCTAGTTATCGAACGCATTTTTCCTCGGCCATTGAGGCTCGATAATTGGCCCTAGAGATTATACGTTATGGCCGTTGGAAGGACTACTACTCTGGCCTTTCGACCTGGACGCTTGTTTTTTTTTTCTTCTTCGCTATAGTACGGTCTTTTCGTTAGTTTGGATTCCGTTTGGAATTTGTTTGAAATTCGTTTGAAATTCGTTTGAAATTTGTTTGAAACTCGTTTGAATTTCGTTTGAAATTCGTTTGAACTCCGTTTAAAGTTCGTTTGAAATTTGTTTGAAATTAGTTTGTAAGTTGTTTGAAGTTCGTTTGATGTTCGTCTGAAACTTGTTTGAAATTCGTTTGAAGTTCGTTTGAAGTTCGTTTGAAATTAGTTTGTAATTTGTTTGAAGTTCGTTTGATGTTCGTCTGAAACTTGTTTGAAATTCGTTTGAAGTTCGTTTGAAGTTCGTTTGAAACTCGTTTGAAATTCGTTTGGAGCAACAGGTATTCCTCAGTTTGAAGTGGTCCCTTGGACTGATGTTCTTGAGGTGAAAGATTACGCAACGATCGCGTTACGATCGCTTTCTCTGTGTCACTGGGCCGACAAGATGCGCGTTATCGCCCCGTTTGTTTCGACGGGTATCGATCAACGATACCCGCAGGAACACCGGAATCGGAGAAAGTCCACGGTTTCCGTTTGCAAAATTCCCTCCACGGTTCCACTGTGACAAGCACTACCGTTTAATTACCGACGATAACGTAAATCGTGAGGAAGGGGGGGCCAAGATCGTTGCGAAAGTTCTCGCCGTCGATTTCGATGTCCGGTTAAACAAACGGGAGCCGATCGTTGGACCGAGCCGATCGTTTCGGTGATCGGAGATGATGATGTTTCACTTTCTTGTTCAAATCTTGTTGCCACAATTTAAAAATTTTCAAAGTAGAAAAAATGTTTCGGTTTACCTAAAACTCTTTCCTGCTTCTAAGAAAATAAAACTTTTCCATTTATGCGAAAATAAAAGTTTCAGTAAATATCCTTCATTTTACAACTGTATTATTGGTACAGAAAATATATATTCATAACTAATTGAAAATATTAATAGTTACATTTACCCCGATTATTCTCGTATTCTCTGCTTTTCTTTGTTTTCGTAGCAAACAACTGCAAACGGTTATGGATCGATTCCTCGATCATCCACGCTCGCTGAACCGTTCGATTACCATTTTACGACACGGGGCAAAGTGTTTCGATGTTGTTTCCTGTCTACCGACAAGAGTTCGCAATCGACGACCACTTGACGCGTGAATTTACCGTGAATTCGGCAAACAAATCGCGAAACGATCGTGTCATCGATGGAAATCTCCTTCGCCGCGGTGTAGCGTGATCGACAGTGTAAACACTTCGGATGCTCTCGACAGATGACATTGACATCTGCGAACATCTACCTGACGCGATCTAGCATTCCCTCTTGGCGATGCTTGTCGGATAGTTCGGGGAATTCGGTGGAAAGTCATCGATTCGTATTTGGCCTTCGCGAGCAACGTAATCGTCAGGGTAAATATTTGAGGTGCTATCGAGAGTGACATTATCATCAGGAAGTCTAACGTGATCGAGTAATTGCATTTGGTAGTTTTTCACGAGAATTTATCTTGTACCGATGAGTTAATGGTAGGCTAGGCTAGTCATCGAAGAAACCTAGCTGAGGAGAACAATTCTCAGTTTCGGTCATAGACGTATAATATCTAGCGTGGGGTCTGAATGTCTTTTGTGTTCAGACCGTGTCAAAAATTAGAAAGAGATGCAGTACAGTCACCAACTTTAATTTTTTATCGATACCATTGCTGTTCTAATCTTTTTCTAACGACGTGATACGGTGAAGAAGTCTTCGTTGCTATTGCGATGGCTATCTTTTCTTAGATCTATCTAATATCGAACGATTTTAGGGGAAAGGAAGTCCCCCAGATTCTCCCCTAAAAAGGTTTGGCCTTCTCCGATCTTTTTCAATTCCAATTTATCAGGGGTCGATCCGTTTATCCTTAGGATGGGTTAGAAAACACAATAGACTTTTATGCTCGGACTTACTGGAACTAAACTAGTAGAAGAAAAAGACAAAAGGCCTAATCAATCTCACATACATCCTATTGCGAATTCTTGTCACGAGCGTGACAAGAATGATACAAAGGAATCCCTTAGATTTCAAGCGATGTGATTGGTTAGATTAAAGTCACATTCATCCAGTATTGGGAATAATATCATCGTACACTTGTCTGATTGGTTGTTACTAATAAAGATGAAGATATGACTCTCTCTATAAGAATCAACAAATCAAAATCATGTACGTTAATTCCTAACACTGTTAAATGTGACCACTAAAAGCAAAAATAAACTTAATTTATTTATCCCTTTTAAATATCGATAAATTGATCTTATTACCGATTCTTCATAAGAGATCGATTCTCAAGATCGATCCGAACTTTATCTAAGATCAGCATCACTATCTCAGAACATGCTTTCTTTCTAATATTTCACATCTATCATTTGGTCCCTATGCCGTAGGCACGAGCATCGAGTTTGGAAACTTTCTCGTCGTCGTAAATCTTTCATGACGCGCGATCGACCGCGTTACTTGCTGGTAGCGATTCCGCTGGTGGTGTTCATAACGAAACGAGCAAGTAAGCGTTGCCAATCGCGTCATGCAGCATAATCGAGTCGGCCAATTAACGTAGTTCTTTGCACTGGAAGCGGAAGGTCGTTCAAGGAACTGACGAATCGTCACGCACGAAAGTTTTTGGCAGCCACACTGGGTCGAGGGTGGGGAGGCGTTTAACGGGAAACGGTTAGGCAAGCTTCAGTGTCGTTTTACGAGCGATGAAATACACGGTCCAACGAAAGGACCGGGACACGGCCGACCTGGCTCTCTTCATCGGCTCCCCGACACTTTCACTGGCCGCGAACACTTGCTGAGTAACGCCGGACACTTTCTTCGGTCGATCGATGCCCAATGGAAAGCGCGTGCGTAAGCGTACTACACGCGTGTCTCAAACTCTCTTTGATCTGCGATTCTCAGGGCACTGGTGGTCGCCAGCGGTTCCCAAACGTTTTTCTTCTAACGCTACCGTGGCGAATAGAATACTTCTTATTCGGTGCAGCGTTGAGTAATCCACTTCTTTACTGGAGTTTGTAATTTTTCTGAAGAAGTCAAAACACTGTACCGTCTGAATGATATTTAATGTTAGCTTTCAAGAGAATTAATTAAATTCGACATTCTGTCGAAATTAACCCATTTCTAACCTCAGTAAATTCACTACACGGAAAATGGCAGAGTTGTAGGATTTTCGAAAAATGATGAAATAAATAGTAAGAATGAAAATGTAGCGGAAAAATATATTAATGTGTAGTATAATGCATCCTCTAATAAGATTGTGAGAATAATTTCTGTTGGTAAGAAACTTGACGGGAACAAAATATTTTCTTGGAAGTTGCCTATATACAACCTTGTGAAGGAATCAGTTAAACAATCACTAAATTTTCATCGAAAAATTATCGATGTTCAAATTGCTACAATTTCGCGGAAACAAAAATCGTGCAAGAGAGGCGAAATCTCTACCTTCGCTTTCCTATGTTGATTTTTCTTGAAAAATTTTCAACATCAAGCGACCCTACAGAGTTACAAAATTTTATACTTTTCATTCAAAATGCAATAAAACGATCAACAATCGTAGATCAACTTTTAAGTGCTCATTGTAAAGGGGAGGATTTATTCTTCAGATTCATAATATTTTTTATGGGATACAGAAGCGATGCCGTTCAGTTTCTCCGGAGATTTTAACACGTGGTAATACAGTAGCTTCGGAGACTTCAACGCGTGGTCGAGCGCGGCTCTGCTCTCCAATCGCTCCCAAAGAATTCGAGCAAAAAACATCATTCTAATAAACCCTTTCATTCCCAAATTATATAACTACTATTACAATTTACAATTTAAATACTATTTACAATTTTCATATCTGAACATACGGAAGCATTGCCAACATTTGTATTCCTTTTGTAACTTTGCTAGACATGGTCGTATCGAAAGGATTAATAAACAATACAAATCATCCTATTCCGTTAAAAATACCCAGAGAAAGGGTAACGCGATGCATCGCGTGTTGAAAGTAACTGAAAACGTTTCCTGGATCATCCATAACCGCGGCTCCGTCGGTAAAAGATCGATCATTCGAAAGTATTCTTTGCCTTCGGCATTGCGAGATGATTTCACTAGAGGTGAAATCACACACAGGTGATCGTAATAGGCAACCCGAAAAAAAAAATATCGCGAACAAGATCATAACGCGCAGGAACTAATATCGTAACAGGCTGTTCGAATATGAGTGGGGTTTCAGGAAAAGTGAACCACGACAACCGGGTTGAGCAACTTTTGAGTCCGATGACCGTTCATTTTTCCGAACGAGTGGATTAATTTATCGCATACTTTGTTGCGAAAACCAAACGACAGGTTTATTCACACAGTGATATTTTTATCTGTCCTATAATTATACTAGCCGTCGAGTAAATAATCTTGCCCGTAACAGAACTATGTACGGAAACCTCGTACAGTGAACTGTAGCGGCACTAATTCTCCGCTCTTGTAACAATACGCAATCCACTCGTTTAACTCCGTAATTCCGTACAGAGGTTATTGTTGTGTACGCAACATTGCTGTTCCAGCCATTTCACGAGACCATATTTCTTATTGCCGGTAGTTTATCGTTAAGCAGTTACGTCTACACTGTTGAGTCCTGTAATTTGAAAATTACTGTCAGCAAGTCGTCAAACACTCTCGATAGAGATCCTTCCTCGACGATTATTACGCAACCAGGCGTTCAGTTAACACTCTCGAACACTTTCAACGGAACTACGTACTTCCTTATTTCTGTCAAATGCTACTACAGTTATGGCCTACCGATTTCTGTCTCTCGATTCGAATAGGATAGACTCGGGATGGAATTGAACAGGGGATTCTAACGACGGACAATTTAGTTGGGGGAGATGATGATCAAAAGACTTTGTAGGGACAAAAGGGAAAAACTTTTTTCAGGCACTCGATCGGCTGATGGTCGTCGAAGCCGACAACGAGACCGCCCTAAGGAGCAAACGGACGATCGGTATCCTGCGTGAACTCTTCCCCGAAGCTTCTCAGGTGAGCCACTGCTGAACAGAACGCAGTGAAATCCTGCAGACGGCCAGGACCATTCGAGACATCCATACCCTTTATCCCAAAAAATTCCTGGGTTCAGGGACCAATTACCAGGGGGGGGGGGGAATAAAGAAGAGGACTTTCGACGTCCTTGAGATTGTATCGTAGGAAGGGAAACGTGGAGACAGTCGATTCGATAACGATATCTTTAGACAATCGAGAGAGAAGTTTGTTTCATCGAGACAGAAATTTCTTTGATCCCAACCGAGAAATTTTATTCACAAAAAAGATCGATTGTCTCGATACATCGGGCGTGCCATCGAGGTACGATTCAATTAGAAGCAAACTATTGTTCTCGAAATAAGACTATAGATTCGAGAAAGTGAAGAAAAATGTTTCGAGGCAGAAATTGTTCACGCCGAATTGGTATTCGTCCCAAGTGTGTTGCGCGATTCAAAGTACATTCTATGTTCCATCGTTTACAACACATCCCGATTGCTTCATCGTGCAACCATGTAATTTATCATTTCAATCCCTGCCGCGGGTCTCAAGATACAATCTCGAATCGAACTAAACCGAATAGTACTGTCATCCACAAACGATCCAGGCATCGATCGCGTTCACCACGTTCCTACCCACCCCTCGGGGCCTCCCAAACCCACGACTATTAACACCAGGGTCGTTGATTCGTCGTGCTCAAAGAACCTTGATTTCAAACTATCGAGTACAACCTTCCTCGACCGTCCACGAAGGCTAGCAACTTCGGAAATTTCGTTGTCAATCTCGAAATGTCGGGATCCCACGAACCTGGACATGTCACATCTCACACACAAAAGGACGATAGCTCGTCGACTAAACGAAACAAAATAACACGGGCTAGAGTTCCTCGACAGTGAAAACGAAAAATAAAAAAAAAAAACAAACAAACAAAAATAAATACACAATAACAAGCATAATCACAACGGACAGAGAAATACAATGCGATCGTGAGCCCACGAAAGACCCCAAACGGTCCTGACGACGATCCTACTACGATTAGGAAAAAAAAATAAAAAATAGACGAAGCAGATCGCGATCGAGCCGATCTCGGTCCCAGTGACGAGTCAGCTAAGAGCCGTTGCTTTTCTAGATGATCGAACAAAAGGTGAACGCGATTGTCGCGGAGGTGATACGCGTCCTCGGCCCGACCTTGCTGCGGAATTTCCTCGGAAATAACGGGCAATCCGCCGCTGGTGGTGGTGGAACCGGGTCGAGCGACGGTTCGACGGCGACCGCCGCGTCTCCTTTCGACGACGAGGACGAGGATACCGGGGTTTCAGGGTTCAAGTCGACCAGCTCGAACGGCTCTAAGGTGTCTATAGCGTTGCCAACCTTCCCGCCTGACGAGGACGTGGAGGACGTCGAGACGACAGCTAATGACTCGTCGACCACCACCATGGTGGCATCATCATCCTCTGGTGAAACGACCACGGGCATCAGCAACACGCTGGCGTGACCGTCTCGCGGTCAGCTCGGTAAAACGTTGGAGGTCAATGAACACGAGGTGTCACGAGAGTAAACAGCAATTTCAAATGGCAAGGATGATCAGACCGCGCAATCGGGACTGCTGCGGGGAGCAATAGCTCTCTATTGTCTGTCTCTACCAAACCACATGACCTTCTTCTATTTGTCTGCTAACTCTTCGTCTTATCTATGTTTTTTTTTTATGCCTCTGTCATCTTCTTTTTTTATTGTGTGTGCGTCTTGTAATTGTGGTCTTCTTTCTGTCTGTCACCACGTTGTCGTAGTGTCCCTTTTCTTCTGTACTCTTCTTGGGCATCGTTACGATATCCCTTATGTGTCCACGGAAAGGACGAACCTATGCGCATTTGGTCTAGTCTGTTATACGAATGCTAACGGCAAATGATCTGTAGCGCTCTCCTGGCTTTCTTTTGTCGATCCATTCAATTATTGATTCTCGGCTCGCTTTCGATTCACATTTCCAAGCTTCATCGGAGACGATCCGTATTCAGTGATCGCTCTTAGATGTTCCGTGTAATATACGGATGACCTTTACTGTCTCTGCCAAACTCGTCGACGTCGATACGATCTTTGACCTCGAGGCTTTTCACCGTTTCATCGACACTCTTCATCGTCATTGACTCTTTTTCTCTGTTTCTTTATTTCGACGTGTGCTTAGCTTCTGTTCTGTGTATAGATGATCCATCAGTCATTCTGTCATCGTCGTTCGGTGCGTTGGTTCGCGAAACGTGCAGAACGAGGTTCGAAGGTTTCATCGTTGACTCGAAGGTATTCAAAAAGGCCTGCAGAGGAGCCGATAGAAATATCTGTACTGATCGATGAGTGAACGGTGAATCGATAAAACCTGAACGATTTACGATACAGAAAACGAAACGCGTCGCCACCGATGTCGAAGTGTCTGCAGCCCCTATAAACGGTTCCGCTTTGACAGAAATACACCCTGTCGATCCAGCGATTCCCAACGAACATACACGAATTCGATACCCAAGATACAATTGGGAATCGTTGGTCTAATCAAGTAATCAAGTTCTCAATTCAGTAGCGCTTCCACTGACGTTTATCGACTAATATACGTCGACGCGTGTCCCGGACACAAGACACCGCGTGAACACGCGTCGCACGCTTGATCTCCTCCGAGCCGAATATTTGGCGTGTTCCGTTCTCGATCGTCATTGAATCATGGAAACTGACACGAATAGAGTTGGACATAAATTATTCAGACGTCATCTGAATTCACTTTGAAACCCGTGGGTGGATCCAAAGCAAATCTAGATGACCTTTCACGAGAAGACGTTTCCCAGATGTGTCAGATTTCAGTAATTTCCATGGCGATCGATACGACGGCGAATCAAGTCTCGAAGCCAGTTTCGAAGAGGTCGACCGTGGAACTTCTGGTTGCAGGACGTGAACCCGGAAGCAGAGGACAGGGCGAACGAGGTAGCAGCCGAGTCGCAGAACAACGAGGTTAAAGTGCAGTTTGCGGACGAACAGCCGAGCGACGAGGCGGCGCCTTTGACGCCGTTGGACGAGGTGGAGGCTGAGGACGACGAGAACAGGAACAAGAGATTCTTGAACTTCGGCTTCGGCGGGGCCGCTGGCACTTCCGGCGGTAGCGGCGCCGGTTCCGGCAACTTTCTCTTCGACATTATTAGGGTAAGTTTACCGTGGACTTTGTGTATATTACCCTTGTTCTTGGTCCCCTGAACGAGTATTGAGTGAAAAGTAGAGGGATTTTCTTGATTTTCATTCGATCTTGTCGGAAATACGAAGGGAGATTCTGATGAACATTTGGTACAATGTTCGAGTAGGAATTTCTTTATTTTATTATATAGATTTATTAGCAATCGGAACACATCAATCCTGTAAGCTAATGCGATGATTTATGAACTGCGAGGTTCTGACTTGGTTAGCCTTCTTTTACGTTTGCTGACCATTTTCTAAGTACGAATTGAGCAACGTATATTATTAATTTTATAGTTTCTTTTAATAGTAATTGAGGCATAGGCTTATCTACCATTTTTCCGTGAATCGTCTAAATCGTCTAATCGTTACTTCCCTAATTTTTACATTAGTACTGTCACTCACCGGTGGTCGTGCTGTCGTACAATACTTTTTTTTTGAAGGAAGCTTCTGTATTAATTGATTAATATACCTTCATGTAATTCATTGGAGCTGCGAGTGACAAAAATTCTATATTCCAACTTGTAGAACAAGACTCACTTGAAGAAATAAATTTGTTCTCTATTTTTCTGTTTAATTTTGCATTGTTTACTTAAACAATACGTAAAAAAATGGCAAACTTAATAAGTAATTATACGTAATTATATAAACAGAAAATAGATCATACGATTTTACACCATTTATAGAAAAACAGCACATAAAACAATTTTTTCAAATTCATAAAGAAACAAATCAAGACTTTTTAAAGGGCATGTTACTTCATCTTTGAAAAAGATTGGTTTTAGTTGCATTACTTGTCGCTAACTTTCGTTACTCTGATGGAAACTTTGAAGTCGACTACCTCGAAATAGCATTTCGGCGTATGTGCCCTTTTTTCATCGACGGCCTCAATTATAATTGTAGAGTATAACTGAGTTGTGAATGACACGTTCGATGAACAGGATACACTTGACAGCCGACTCGACCGTTTCGAGTATAGTTCAATTTGTCGCCGGTCCCTTCCCTTCGTCGCGAGCTGAAAAAAAAAAACGAGCGAGAGTGAAAAAGTACGGGGCTTTGCGTCAGTAAACGCAAGGACCGATAGCACGACACACGACCGGTAGATCGTTTAATATTCAAGTAAGAGGCTGGCACAACCGACGACGGCAAGGGCGCCTGCTCGTGGCACCAGGTGAAAGTCTTCAACCGAATTGCTGCGTTGTGTGCCGATCTATTCCAAGGTTCCTGACCTAGCCACGACCCGACCTCCTAGAACGATTACCAACGATTATAGGTTTTTGTTCCCTCTGAACGTCACGAAAAGTATAAACCTTTTAATTCTAAATTTTACCATAGCTACGATTACATTGAAAGTTATTCGATTCAGAGGATTATTTTCACGACAACATGTCATAATTTTGATACTCTGAATGTTATGAAAGTCTAAGAGATTCCAGTGGCTAGAATTCACAAGCTGTTGAACGTTCTGTTCAGCTTTCAGTTACAACCACATCGTTCTTCGTCTAATTGCCCATCCGACTAATGAAAGTAATAAGAAGAGAATAGCCCTAGAAAGTAATCCGAGGAACGTAAAACGCGATTGAAATTCTGCTTTTACAATAATAACGCGATGATTATTAGAGGTTTCTCCTATTTTATTCAACGAACTGGTTTATCTATCCCCCCTGCGTACGCGGGTCCATTGTCCGTGCACCGCGAACAGCAACATAGTCGACTGAGGTGGTCGAAATGACTAGAAACTGGTCGATAGATGCCTGCCTTTTATGGAGTCAGAAATCTAGTCACCGTTTTCTTAATGCCGCGAGACCTACCGATTCTTCTCGCATGATTCGGTTTCCCCTCGAAGATTTATGGTATTCTGACGATACTGAAATTTCAATAATTAATGAAATTCATAATCAATGAAATTCTTCTCATAGAATTCAATTTCCTCTAGCAAATTCATAGTTTTCTCAAGGTACTGTAAGATCAATAATTGGTAGATGATACGTTAGAAACTTCTGAGAATCGAATCCTTTGCAGATCTCTGAAACTGTTCTGGAAAGATTCGATTTCCTCTCGCAGATCCATACCCCTCTCAACATATTGCAAGTTCAATAATTGATTGAAGATAAATTAGAAACTTAAACACAAAAATCTTCATTCCACCCTCATGAAAACCACCACTAATCGATACGTTTCCTCTCAAAAACTCTGAATCTAAACCTGGATCCTCCACTTTTCATTCAAGATCAGTAAATCAGCGACAACAAAGACCCCGATCCTCCTCGCGGAGAATCTCCATGATCGTACCCTCTCCCAACCATCGAACCAACAAACCGCGTAACTAGCATATATATATATATATATATATATACAATCCCAATAGTACGATCGCGAGGCAAAGGACAACAAGGAAGATGTCGTTCACGCCATCCCGTGTTAAATAAGAAATTTTAGCCGCTTTGCAGGAACACGCTGCTGTCGACGAGAAATCAATCGATCAGGCGGACGGGGGACGGAGTCGAATGATCGCCGCACAAACGAAAAAATAAAAACACGCTCTTCTAAAGCAAAAGAACCAAACAAAAAAATAAACAAAAACCAAAAGCTAGGCTACATCCCGAGGAGCGGATCAGTAAACGAAAGTTTCTCGTCTCTGTTCTCGTTTAGCAAGCGGCCGACGGGGCGGCAAGAGCGGCGGGCACGGTGTACCGCGTGGTGGCAGGTACGCAGAGCCTAGGGCTCGGCTTAAGCGCCTCCCGGGACTTGGGCCCGGCTCCCCAAGATGCCGCCCCTGCTGCCGCTCCAGCTGGTTCCTCGGCCACGGCGGGATCCTCGAGCAACACACAGGCCGCGTCAGGAGCCGGCAACCTACCACCGGTACGCCAATCCTTCCGAGCAGAGCCGACAGGACACTGCCGAACTGCACTTATCTCCTGGTGAACGGAACCGTTCGCAGGTTCCCTCGAACCAACGTCGATCCTCGGCAATCCCCCCTCGCCGAGGATCGTCGAAGATCGAACCTCGTCGAATTCCGTTTACTCTGGCTTCTTTCACTTTCTCTCTCTCTCTCTCTCTCTCTCTCTCTCTTACTTTCTCTTTCTCTTGTACATTTATTAATTTCTGCTTTAGTCTTTCACTGACACTCTCTCTGTCCGTCTGGTGGGAAACTTGGTCCCCGTGGGCCACTTCCGGTGGCGAATACTTCTTTCGAGGTGGATATGTTTGACGTGTCATTCTGTGATCGTGATACCGCGGTGGGTTTATTGGGCAATTTTGGGGAATTTTATTCGTGTGTTTTGTATGTTGAAAGGGATCGATTTGTTGGTCAAGGTCACACCAGTCTGGTGGCGTGGCTCACGCTTATGGGGAAGTGACCTTGAATCACCAGTTGATTCTGTTTTCAGTGTATTCGAAGTTTCTTGTTACGGGTTTCGTTAAGTCTTTACCCACTGGTTCTTTGTTCTTCATTTTTTTTTAATTAATAATTATTTAAATGGAGTAGGGTTGACTTGTCGATTTTATTTTTCTATTCGAACTTTCTGTTACGACTTTCGACAAGCCTTCTCGGAGTTTTATCCTCCATGGTCACCCGGGATCCAGGTAAACTCAACGAAAGTTCAAGACTTTATATCTCTGTAGTCTATATTTTATCTACAAAACGTAATGATTAAAAAATTATGATTTTTTTTAGTGAAAAACTCACTTTTTTTTGTAACTGTTACTTTCATGACGTTTTTAAATATGTTAACATTGAAATTTTTACAAAAACCGCGGTCGTTCCATGTTCCACTATGCTAAAAGTGTATTCCATAACTTTTTTAATTCGATGGAACGAATACTAGTTCCATAAAAAATGTTTGCAGAATAATATTTCCTCTTTCTTTAATTCTCACACCTGGTCCCATAGATTTGGCCGTAAATGTATATTTTCCTGGTTGTTACAAGTTGAAGTTTAAAAGTTGAAGTGTAGAAGTTGAAATATAAAACTTTGATTATTTAAATCAGCAAAAATGGAGTTACCGTTAAAAGTTTGAAATACCAGTTTTATTCATGAGGTGAAAACTCTTTATTCCAGTGCATTTTGCACATTCTTAAACAACTTGAAGACACAAATCCCTCAATCAAATAACAATATTATCTGCAAAGAGATACGTTACGAATATAAAGAAGGGAATGAAAGTAGCCAGTGACTCGAAGTGTCTAAATCACCAATGATAAATTCGATTCTTGTTCTACTTTCAAGCCCCACAACCGTCACTTAGCGTTAACGCGCTCGTTTCAATGCGGAGCGAGTTTACCACCGATAGTATCTCACGGAGGTCCCTCCGAAAGAAGTAATTCGCACGTCTATAAACTATGAATCGTGTCTTTAACAGCTCGATGCACGACGGCCCATCTGTGTGCAGAGTATAATAGCTGCACTCGGCGGTGTTTGATCTGCACTTAACATACCTGGCACGTGACTAACGAAATCGTGGAACGTTTGTTGCTTGCTCCCCTGTCTTTCTCTACTTTTCGTCATACTTCGGTGTACAAAAAAACCTCGGTGAGTGTTCGAAGGGTCCTCGGCACTGAACATTAAATATTTCATTAATCAAAGGCCATAAAAACAAATCTCATTGGTTCTAGAATTTCAAGCTCTATAATTGTGTTAAAACTCATTAAAAAGTCAGCTATACACCTGAGTACTTCGAACACTTATTGAGAATTTACTGTACATTCTCTTGTTCGTTCTCCTTGATCGTGCATGAACCACCCCCGCCAGAATCTTCGCTGTCTGTAACTCCGGGATAGGCGGACTCTTGAAACAATCGAAATAATTTCAGGAGAGCCTGGCACGCAGTGATTTCCTAGTTGCATTGTGCGCCAGGTTTTAGTCGTAACGATGTGACTAATTCCGAATGGGTCACCGAAGAGACACACGCTGTTCTTATTTTATAACCTGTTGCCTGTCACTGCTACTCAGAGTTGGATAACATAATACCTGAGTGAGAGTTAGCATTGTTTGGAACTGTATATGAGACTCGAGAAAGTTAAAAGATTCGAAGCACCTTTACGACTCATATATTTCTTAGTGTAACAGTCGACCTGTTAAGACACTGCTTGCTCAAAATCAGTAGAACTTTATGTCCAAAATAAAGGCATAATTATACACCTTTAGTGTCAGTCAAAAATAACGTTCAAAGCTCAAGGAACAGCGTGTTCGTTTAACCTTCATCAGGATAGAACGGACAACAGCCTCAGAAGCTCTCAGCCCAAAATAGTTAAAATTTATAATTCTAGAATATTTTACTTCTTTTAATTCAATTTATTAAATTGTTAATTATTTATTGCACTTATTATTATATTGAATTAATAATAGTGCCTCAGAGGCTCTTCTATCCGAACGAAGGTTAACGTGTCGCCTTCAGTCGCCCATCGCGAACCCATTTAACATCCATAATCACCATCGTACCCTCCAACTAACAGTTCTCACGTAAGTGTAACCTGTCACGAAAAGTATGAAGCAGCCCCCCCAAAGCCCACTGCAATCGTCCAGAAGCACCCTTATTCCAATCGTTTCCACCCGGCCAACGGTCCCGACGCGACACCGACAACCACCGACTAAAGACTCTCATTCGGCGAAGCAACTGGCTGATTGGACATCCCGTCCGATTCGACTTGGAATCACATCGGCGGCCATTGATCGAACGCCGATTCTCTCGTTGTTGTGATCTCGTACTCGTCCATTGCACCGTATTTCTTAGCTGTAGTTAATTCGTTGCTGCTGGATACGCACCGAAGACGACGGGCTGGCAGACGATTCTTGGTAGACTTCTAGCAACGGTATTGGTAATATTTTCATTAGACTTTTTCATCGAAGGTTCAGTTCCACATCGATTATATATGTGCCGTTGAATCGTCTGTCTGCACGTGGGAAATTTTAGTAGCGAATTGACGCACGTTCGTAGCACCTGTGGCGCCTGGAAAGCGAATGATCGTGATTCGATCGAGGAAGGAGTAAGTATCGAGGCGTGCGTCATGCTGCTACAATCTTCACAGTAATATTATCGTCTCTTTGGGTCCATGGTAAATATGTTTCTAGTATCGATGCACCTGTAGGCTGTCCATACTGCAAGAATCGTCGCTACGATCATCTCTGGTAACACGTTGACGCCCGATATTTCGCCTAAATGGCTTATAGTCCCTGCCCAGATCAACGACAATGGGCGACAACGTGTTTAAGAATCTCTTCGTTTGGATATTGACATTTTCTTTGGATATGCATTTTCTTGTTATAATGATCCTTGAAACGTATGGACAGCTGATTAAGCTACCACGAAACAATGTCACGAGCCGAAGGAGCGCACGTAAGGATCGTAGCAGCGAGATCGATGGATCGTAGCCGCAAGTAGGCATTCAGGATTTAATAGAGCACCGTAGTGTCGGGAGCGCTGGAGCTGGACGTGGAGCTGCTACACACTGCAACTATTGTTCCCCGTTTATACAGAATACGAAAGAAAATAATAGTAGAACGTTCACGCAACGATCGATGACAAAGACAAGATCCGAGCGGCGTGTCTTTTATTCACTCTCGTACACTATCCGTGAACGAAGAAATGTCCATGAATGGTATCGGGGCTAACCGATGGTTTTGGTTCTTTGCAGCTGGTGGCCGGAAGCGGAGGACAGGCTAGCGCCGGAGGAATTGCTGGAAAGACGGAAGAAGTCGCTGAGGCGGTGCCTGGGCCAGTTACCAGGCTCTTCGTCATCGCGAACAGGGGAATCTCGAACCTTATACAGGACCTTATCCTCGTGAGTAACCTTCATGATATGCTAATGTGGGATATATGGGGCAGATAATTTATTCGAATAATACGCAATGAAAAATTGCAGTATCTAAGGATATCATTCTGAGGTTAAACTGTTTGTAAAACGTCAACTAATTCTAGGAGTATTATTTTATTAGAAAAATTGAAATTTCCATGTTGAAAGGATTATAAATGACGAAGTATTTTTTTATCTTTCATTCGTTATTTGAAACTCTTATCTAGATAAGGAATTTGTCCATCTCTGAGATGGGAGTTATTATAAAAATTATAAATACTAAATTAATTTAGGTAATTGGATACTAATTATAAAAATTATAAATACTAAATTAATGATTCGAAACGAAATCCCACGGTCGGAAAGGGTTAACAATTGCAACAGGAAACCACGTCCAACTCAAATCCACAAGTAGTGCTACTCACGAATCAAATTTCAACCTCTTACCAGACTAGCTATCTCCCATTGGCGCTGGTAGAATAACGGAAGAGAAATTCGACTAATTTATAAAAAGCACAATCCACACGCAGTCTATTATTACTATTAATTCCTGATTAGAACGTACACAAGTAACTCCCCCACAGGTATCCCCGTTACGACCGTACTCGAACGTTTAAAAAAATTAAATCCACAAGGTGCCCGCGATCGCGTAAGACCGTTGCCATTCGCGTTACGTCCATAATACGTTTTGCGTAACGAGCACAAAAGCATAAAACGGTCCTTTCCATCGGGGTACGCATATAACCGAAAGGACATGAATGAAAATCCGTGCTGTGAAGCGTTGCAAACGGGACGGTCGGTTTAATTCCGCGGCTAGAAATCGATTATGCCAATCCGAGCGTAGAGGCGGATAGACGACACGGATAAGGGACGAACGGAGTCGTTAAATCGTTACGACACCAAAACAAGCTGCTTTCCACGGGATTTTTCGCCCAGATACCGTGACCGAACTGTCTTCTCCGACAAAGCGGTACGAACTAGCTCGAACGATTCTATCATAATCGCGTGATCCAAACAGGGGGGGGAATTGCTCGCGAGGGTCTGCCTTCTTTACGTGGAAATACGTGCCTACTTTTCCAGAAACACAGAGAAGCTCCTATTGCGTTCCCCTTGTTATTTATTTTTCTGCGTGTTTTATTTACGTAATCGATTTGTTCGAAAGTGAAACTACCCACCAGGACGTTATCAAGATCGGACTACGAACTCTAAGATTCGTTGGCGAATAAGAAACGCAGAAAGAACGAAGTCTATTTATTCCCCTTGAACAGACGCAATGCTGCGTTCTCTTGACGGTGTTTCATTGACCCACGTGATCGAACAGGAACGTGATCGAAGTAATTTGTTAGAGGGAGAGAAAGATATACATGAATAGAATCGCGCTCTAGTGTTCGGTTTGGAAGTGGAGGTAGTAGATGAATCGATTAGCAAGGATAAGTACACATGATCTACTTGGAAACAGCGCAGCAAGACGATTATAAAGTAACGAGATAATTAACTTGTCCGCGCCATGACCTGTTCTTATGTAGCGTTTAATGCTCAGGCTTCCCGTGGCGGTCCGTCCGGGAAAGAAGTACGAGGCGTGATGGGAACAAGTGGCGGAATAATCTGATTAGCGGCGACGCAAATTAGGGGAACTCGCGATGTAAGACGAGTATAGTCGCGACAAAAGAATTTATAGTTCAGAAATTCGTCTACGAACTATGAAATCGGTTTCGCGGTGTAAATTCGATCGATTCGATATATTGAAACTCTGTTTCGGAGACTGAATTTAAATCGAAATTAACACTGGAACCACCCAACATGGACATTTTATTATTTCTAACGCGTGGGTAAAAGGGATGGCTTGTTGAAAACACGGAAATTGATAAATTAACGAGTTTTAGTTGCTCTAACCCTTTTTCGACCTGAATTATTTCTTTCAAGAAAACTAAATATATTCTTGCACATAGTTATTTCTTAGATGTCAGAATAACAGGAAAATTGAAAAACAGGGAATAAACAGAAAGATAGTTTATAAGCGAAAACGAATATTCATTAAATGATTCCTAAATATTATTGTCGGGAATACATCCATCTAAGAATAAAAAGGTGAACTATACGATACGAAGCCATGTTGAATCTTCAGATTCATGAGTTATAAATGCTAATTAACTTAATGATAAAAAATGGAATCCTACGATTGAACAAGGTTAATATTTTTTCCTAAGAGTCTACGAACCAGTCCTTTCGACTGCTTCAGCAGTTCCAGTGTTAAACATTCGAATAGGAATTGTCCTATTTAACAATTACAACATTAGCGACGCGAAACGAGTGTCACCGTCGTAAGGGAAACCGGTTCAATGAGAGAAGCCGCGAGGGAAACATTCTAGATTTCAACAGAAATTCGCGAGATCGGAATTAAATTCGTTTCGGGATCGGCATTTTGGCCGAAAGTCCAGCGAACAGCACCGAGGCTTGTCGTTCTAGATATAAAACCGGCCGATTACGCAAGCGCGCCCCACGTCATGATCGATGGAAAGCAAAAATGTAAGCGACTTTCTCTATGAAATAGCTCGTCCATTTGCCGGCTGACTTATGCAAGCAGTCGCTACCTGCCACCTGGCACGCGATATTGCCAAGGCAGCTAGACGCCATCCAAATTCGCGAAAATCCTCCACGTCGCCGGCGATCGATCATTCGAATGGGGTATTTTGATTTTTCTCTCTGAAACGTTTCGACGGTAGGTCTATGCAAGGGTGAAAACTTTTGGCGCCGATTGTATGTCGCGTGCGCTACGCCACGACCGTAATGGCTACGATATACCCGGTGAATGCGTTTCTTACATTCACCGGACGGGTACGGAGTCTTTCATATAAAGTGGCCTAAACTAGTTTCTCTTAGTATCGACAGATTTTGGTACGAAAGGAATGAGGTGAAGGGTTTTATAATTAATGTGGAGGGAAAATAAATATTTAGAAGCAATTAGAGGATTACATAGAGTATACAGAATATTATACGATAAAGAACTACTAGAAATTTATACTAATAGAAAATTCAGCAAAATATTAAATATAAAATGGTTTTCTCACATTTTGACCGCACATAAAACAGAGAATATTGAGGATGTCATCTTAACCCTTAATAGTTATTTCAAAATTATGAGACTGATAGTATGTTATATTTTTTTATTTTGAAGTAAAAAATGTCGATACTAAACCGACTTATCTTTAAAAATTGTTTCATATTATTAAAACGCCCGAACACCTATACCAGGGAAGAAAATTACTTCTGGCGCTTAGTTAACTGAAAAATGGTCCCAATACATGCACTTCATCTAGATTTTTACGTTAAAACTCCTGGAAATATGGTTTTCTATATTTTTCTTGTTAAATTATTTTTGGAGGAAGTGGTTGAATTTTTCAACCAAAAATGTTAAGATCTTCTTTACTATGAAATTACGGATCATTACAGATGAAAGTTAGATATTAATTTTCGATAGAATTTGACACACTTATAATTATGTACCAGTGCAACGCTGGGAGTTAAAGGGTTAAAATAGCCCAGATAAATGACAAACCGACGAAATGAAAAGTGTAAGACCTCCTAAATTGAACTCGGCTCTACACAAGTAAATAATTACTAGCTTCTATGCGTCGGGTCTATCCGCTAGCGTATCGTGGCTCGCTCTCGCGTGCCGTGAACTCCCAACGAAAGCGAAACCGAACGACGAAAGAAGCCCGTCGAATTACCTTGTTAGAGGGCGTTGATCGCGAAGCCGCCACAACATTCACCGATTCTCCCACGATCACAGAATCAAAAAACACTTCTCTGTGTGCCGACAAATGTCGCCCCTCGGTAAAAATCGGATTATTCACGATCCCATTTTCGAGCCGATCGACTAATTGATCGATCTTGTGGCGGCACAACGACCAGATATTTCCCGCGACTTTCGTTTCGACTCGAGTTGAAATCGATGAAAGCGACGGAAAAAGATAATGCTAAGAACTCGTGGGGAATTTCTTCTGGCGTTTGACAGCGATACCAACGAGTTTTGCCTGGTCGTTTTTCGTGTTGTCATTAAATAACAGTTTCTTTGAAGCTTGGTAGGAAAATTGTCCAGGAGAAGGTGAAGGAAGAGTTAGTAGCTACCTCTAGCTAAAAGTATTCGGTGGAACTAAATGACTGGAGTGGAAATTGTTTGTGTGTTAAGACGTACACTGCCGTTTATAAGTATTAAGACACCCGGCTTGTGGAAAGTACGATGTAAAAATTATGTTCTTCGCCACTTTTACTGCTTTATATTGGCCAGGTCTTGTCTGTCGAAGTTTAATATTGTTCAAATAATATTTATTCCAGGCCAACAAGAATTTCATAAGTGCTTGTTACATTTACTTTATTTTTTATGAGCCTTTCAATACTTATGAGCGTGAGTTTACAATAGGTGATCAAATTATTAGAGCCACAGTACGAAGAATATGTTTTTTTCTGTACTTGCGTAGAAATAAAATCATAATATGAAGGTTCCCACACTGGAAAATTTTTAATTAACGATTTTCTACTAAAAATACTGAAAAACATGGAACTTAACTTATATAATTATACAAAATACAGTTAAAATCGTGAAATCGACAATTTATGCAGGTGGCTCTAATCAGTTGATCAGTCCACTGTATGCGTTCGTACTTGAAATAAGTAGAAACCGTAAGTCATGGGCAGACATGTTAGACTTCAAAGTCCTATTGGAGAGCACGCACACGCGTTGAATATTCAAATTCGATTTTCTCAGAAACGAAACCTCGTATAAGAAATCCTCATTCTCCTCACTTTTCTGCACCCAACAAACTTCTAAAGTCTTTCTTCTCGACAACAGACTCCTGTTTGTAAATACTTTAATCGCATTTTTCGACGCCTTTTTATGCGAAGAATTAAATTACTCTTCCAGTCCTACTCTTTTATACATCTTATCTCGGCGGGAAAAGTGACACAAGTAAAAATTTTTCACTTTATTACGTGGAATATCTTTTAATATGTAGATCCACCATCCAGAAAAATCACAGAAGTCGAGTCCAATACTAGAGATGGCACTAATGTCACTTTGCTACGTACTGAATCTGAGTTCCTTTTCATACACCTGAAAAAATTACAAGTTCTCGACTTGTGATACTTTTTTCACACACATACCATAACCACAACAATTACTTAAAATTCAATGCAGGTAAACTTTTAGTAAAAATCACCGCGATTTTTATATCCCGTCGAATCTTGAGCCTCGTCCTCACTCAAGCAACAACGTGCCACTTTTGATTAATACTCCATATTTCTTGAAAAAATCATCGCTTGTTGTCGAACATTTCCCCAGGTTTCTTCATACTCCTATTGCTAGCAACAAATGCATCCTTGAAACCACAACAAAACCCAATTGTACTTCAGATTACGCTGCTTCAGAGTGGACAAAATATTTCTCCAAGGTGGTGTTTGTTGGAAATATTTGGAATAAAGGCGACAAAAAGTTCCTCGTGGTTGCTTCAATGTGAACAAACTTTTACAGGAGCCTCAATGTCGTTATCAAGTTTCTATTTGACTCCGATCTTTGTAATACAAAAAAATCCATATTTGCATAAACATCCGCAGTCTATTTATGACTCGTCGAACACAGTCTACTTGGAGATAGCAGAAAATAATCGTGTTTCCTCGGTGTAAAGACGAGACTCAAGTTCGCCGTTGTAAACAGTAATCGTGTTCATTATACGCAACCTTCGTCGAGCGGGTTCGCTGACGTCGTCGGCTGGAAAGCGTTCACGCTTCGCGCATCACCGGGAATTCTTCTGCTTCCTAGCAACGACTGAAACTCGGAAACTTCGTTACAGACTCCGTGGATCGTGGCAAAACAATTCCGCGATCGTTCGTCCCGCGCGAGCAACCGCTTCGATCGCCGATCGTTCGTTTTTTACTTCATTCTTTTTTTTGCACCCTAGACGGTGAAACTTTGGTCCCACGGATAAGAAGAGTCGAAAGCGGTTGGTGCTTGACTCCTGTGTTGAGAGTGTTGCGAAATTTCTTTTCGCGGGAAATAGCTGTGCTTTTCCTGGCGGAAATGAAATGGAAGGAGAAACCAACGAGTCAGAGTAATTTGAATATTTGAATATCGGTCACCATTCTTTCAGAGATATCTTATAAATGAAATACATGAAATTTGTATAGGATTTTATAAGATTAGGGTCATTGATACAGATGTGGATGTTTGTGCAAATGTAGAACTGTGTGGAATAGTCTGCAGAATTTTAGAATCAAATAGAAAATTTGTTTAATGAAGCAACAAAATGTTCATTGACTGTACTTGTGCATCACATATGATGCACAACATTGGAAATAAGATTGAAAACTTGCAAAACATTCTCAAACCCTTTTGTACCTTGAATGTTAAACTGTCCTTCACGCCATAAATGCTCGAAACACACTGTCTAGTTATGAAGAAGTCGGTCAGTGTAGCGGTAATAGAATAGTTGGGGAGTGTTATACTCCGAGGGGAATCTAGATATTTTTCTGAAAATTTATTTCATTCACATCGATCCTAGAGAATGAAAAAGTTGTACTAAATAATTCTATTCCATGACATACAGGGAGATTCTCATAAATAAAATGTTTTATCGTCATTACGATTAGCAAAATCAGCTCGTGAAGTTTGGATAAACTAATTAAGACCATGTTACAGATAAAAAATGCATTAGAGAGAAACGATCAGAAATAGAAATGAAATCGAAAACTGAAGTACTTTCAAGTGTAACTTTTCCGTACAATACAGGCATTATTAACACCTAGTTACATTTGTATAAAAAAACTTTTTCAGTGATTATACTTCCTGTATCCACTATCCAACACAATGACTTATCTCTAATCATCCCGTTCCTCTACTCGGGTCACAGTCGACCCATCGACAAAACTGTTTATGCATTCACAAAACCTAATATAATAAATGAGGTCCTATTATGTGTCACCATTGACCCAGCCATCAACTTTGACGGTTCTTACTTCAAGGCTAGAACAGAAAGTACTGGTCCTGAAAGATACAGTAAATTCTCACTGAGTGTTCGTAGGCTTCTCGGCACTGAACATTACATATTTCATAAACTAATGGCCACATGTAGCTGAAGGAAATATTATTAGCTGCAGAATTAAAAAAATCTATCACTGTGTTAAACCTCATAAAGAAAAAGTCACTGAGAAGCCTTCGAACATTTACTGAGGATTTACTGTATATCTCAATGCAGTGATTCCAAGCTTTCGCCCAATAATTAAAATGATCGTTTCGTAAAGATCAGGTATTAATTAATATCTCGTGTGTTCTCTAGCGCCTGGCGGCAACGAGCGAACGCATCGTCAACTTCAAGGCGAGACTGATCACTTCCATCATCTAGAATTCGGCGGGAAAGGAATAGGGTGAGGAAGTACAAGAAAAGATTCGAAAGGTCCTGACACGTTCGGGGCCACGTCGGAGCCATTGCCGAGCCGTTTAAACGTCGCAGGAACACGGGTACGACGTTGGCAACGTGACCCACAGCCAGCTCTCTGTTGCCCCCTTGTCCCCGAGGTCCGAAGTACCTCGTCGATGCTCGACACGTCCTCGTAGACGCGTAACCTCGCGACATCACGATTTCGATATCACGCGACAGACCCGCGACGATCCTCTCGTTCTCTCTATCTCGTCCTCTCCCCCCTCAAAACTCAGTATCGCTGTGTTCTATTCTGTTCTCTGCTTCCTATTTTCATGTCCTCCAACGTGTTTCCGTGAAACTTCCCCCGCTATTCCTTTCTAAAGGTACTCTTCGTCCCTTGTAGCGTGTTCCCTAGTGCCCCCCCCCCCCAATATTCACGTTTATACATATAGCGTTTAAAATTATGTTCTCACGGAGATTCGACGACCACTGGATGAATTTTGCTTTGTACCTTTCTAGAGCACCTGAACTACGCCCGAGAAATTGGCAATCTGACGAGTGATTGGTTTTTATATTCGCTGATACGTATTATCTAGAAATGTTTGCAGTATTGTGTTCATACGAATCACTGAGCTGAAATCGTTTAGATGTTAGTCGTACGAAATGTATATCGTCCAGTCGGTGTTCCCGCGTCGAATCGCGCCAAGCCAAGAAGAAACTTGCGTGGATTTGTATATAGCTCTTACCGGAACGCAACAGTGCCAAGCATTGATTGTTTTATTTTTTTTTTTTTTTTCGTCCTACTTGCAGTTAGCAGCCCTTGTTCTCCTTGTCTATTGCTTCTCTAAGGGTTGCTAAGCGCGTCGACTGCGGTGAAACTGGAAAAATTGCTCAACAGCTTGAAATCCAATACGCAGATTATACCGTATCATGATAAACAGTCCCGAGAAACTCTGTACCGTCTGATTGTAAACGTTCGTAGTGTATGTGTCACCCCAACCGCTCGCCATAGTCGACTTGAACCGGAAACCGCGGATATTTTCTTCTCGTGCTTTCCGATGGCAGGAAAGCGTGAAAAGAAAATGACGATCGAACGATATTCCAGTCAAGGTGTGTTTATCCATGAATTGAACGCATTTGTCTATCTAATGTAAATCGTCCCTGTTGTTTTGTAGTGTAAATAAATAAATATTATTGTCATAAACACCGTGTCCTCTGTTCATCGTGGATTCCCCTTCAGCGATCGTTTATTACACGACTTACTACCTACTCGATACAAATATAAACAAACAAAACAGTAGGGCGTTCACCACGATTGTAACGTTAACAACACCGATTCTAAATTCACGAATGAGATTTAGCAAAAATAGGTACACTCGAGGAACGATTCCAGTTTTCTACGAATTCGTTCGACGAACATTTCTTTCGTAAAGCATGATACATTTGGCTGATTCGTCGATTAGATTGGTATCGGGCATCTATCGCGTTGCAGGTCGCACGAACGACTCACGCGAGCTTAATTATACAAACTGTTCCCCCGATGGGAACAAGGATATTGTCTCGAGACAGTCTTCCCACGCAAGCAATTTGTTACACCTAATCACTTAAACGACTATGCTTATTGTATTCACGAATCACGATCAACATTAGGCCCCGTTAGAAATTGAAAGAACGTTGGTTCGATCAGGCCTTCGCTACGTATCGCTCGTATACTTGGTAGGTAAAGAGTCTTTGCTCGACGACGCTGTGGCTTCCTCGAAGACGAATATATCGTCGTCGCAGGAAGACCACCGGTGTAGCTAGGGAGGCGAGACCAACGGCGGTTGTTCATCAGGTACATCGACGTATACCGGGTCCCCTAACCGCACGGTGCCCGATGATCCAACCAGACCCAAGTGAATACCAAGCATTGGACTCTCACCGATCAGACGACGTAGTTTCGGCTCCGTTGCTTGTCTGTAACTTTAAAGCGAACATTTTTTTACTGCCTTCGTTCCTCGATAGATCTTCATCATCATCGTGATCGTGACCATATTGTTCCTTATGTCCATGTTGACCGTTTTGAAAAAATCTAAGAAGTTTGCTATCGTTTGAGTTTGGATGTTTACGCTGAGTCAAATTGTTGACGGACTCTTTTGTAAAAACCAAGATCAAAGAAGAATTGCTCTGACAAGTAAAGGATTTGTTGATTTTAACGTAAAATAAAATCTTCATTAATCTTGGTTTAATTTATTTATACGTTGTATGTTACGCTCTTGAATTTTCTATATATAGAATCCACGGTTTGGGTATATTCAAGATATCTTTTCTAGAAGATATTTTCTTATTTACTCAGGAAATAGAGTAAAACTTTTTCGTATGAAACTTCGGTTTCGAACGAAACGAAATTGAAAGTTAGTTGGGGTATTGTGACCTAATTAGCAATCTTGAATTATTAATATCTGATGAAACTCTGTATGTTAGTTTGTTGCTCCATGAATACCAAGTTTGGAATCATATACCTTTTCAATGTTTTCAATGGTTCCACGTTTGAGTTTTTTACACCAGTCTCCGGGTTAATGGTGGTCATGATACACCTGTGACACGGCATCACGTTCCGAAAGATCACGTCGCCGATCTTCACCCACTGCCAACTGTCCTCTTCGTACGGAAGAGCACCTTTCACAACGAAATTCTGACGAAACTGTTCCATATTGACTGGTTCATCCAATCGTGAATTCAATTCCGTCACCGAAGCTTCGTTCATCATACAGTAACTAGATTCGTCTGGGTAGGCACCCTGTTTAAACGAGGCATTAGGAAGAATTTTATTTGCTAGAACATTTTCCATTTAACCCTTAAAGTACTGCGTGAACTAAAACAGTCTATGTGGCTGGTAAGAACTTCTGCTGGGTGAATGTACTCAGTGTTAAATGAGTTAATACGTGTTAAAGTGTTAAATGAGTTCATATGAGTTGAAGTGTCCCTGTGTTGCGATATGAAGGTATTAAGTTGTAGAAGTTCCGAGGTGTCAAGGTGTTCAATGTATCCAAATGTCGAAGTGTTCAAGGTGCTGAGTCTTCAAAGTGCTGAAGTTCAGTGTGTTCTGATTTTCAGAAATCAATGTGTGAAAGTATTAAAACGTTAATACTATTATGGTGTTAAAGTGTTAAGGTATGAATACGATTATGGTGTTAAAATGTTAAGATGCTATATTGTTATGGAGTTCAAATGTTAAAATAGTAATACTATTAGTGCATAGAGTGTTAAAATGTCGTTACTGTTATGGTGTTAAAGTGTTAAGATGTTAATACAGTTATGGTGTCAATCTCAACATTGTGACGCTACACTATTGAGCGGTCTGTGTAGGCAATAAGGATGCTTAATCGAGTCTACAGCACTCGACAGATTAAACGATAATGTTTAAGTAATCCTAGATAAAACTCACAGTGTCATCGCCAGAGAAATTAAAATTTTTATGTTTCGTTCGAAGACCCCGTGTCGGTTCTTCTAATGGATAGTAAACCAGCCTGAAACCGGTGTCTTCTTGAAGAAGAAATCGAGACAACCACCTGGCAGGTTCTTCGCCGCAATCGCTGGCTGCCACGGCTTGTCCCCAAACTGCTACATGGAATCCCTTGCCATTGATTCGTGCCAAGTCAATGGACACTGGCATCATTCCAGGCGCAGACAGTGTGAGGACTGATCCGGAAACACTGGGTGATACCTTCAAAAAACATATCAGTATTATTTAAACACCTATTTATCTGAACCTAACAGGGGATAAAAAAATTTATATAAGAGAATGTATAAAAAAATTAAAAATCCCTAATTCTACTTCTTTCAATACAGTTCATTCTTTAACATAGAAAGGAATGAATATTTTAAAATACACTGAGTCATTTAAATACATACACATGTTTGTATATTATAGGAACTTTGGAAAAAATGGAACACCACAAACGGGACTCGAACCAGGGTTCTTCGAATTCTTCGACACAGCCATTTCAACCTGGTTCACTAAGTATTCGTTCCTATTATAAGGAAATTTTTTTTATACACCTTCTGTAAAGCGGAACAAGTTCCCGCAATTGGTTCGCCACGGGACACGTACCGCTGTAAAAACTGTTCAGCAACGTGTTCGGTAAAACCGGCACTCGGAAGAAATTCTTTCGAACAAACGGCGTTCGGATTAACGGATCCCACTGACAGTAGGCTACAGTACATGCATCGCTGATGGCTTTGAGAACCCACATTTTATTACGGAACATTAAATTATTGGTGCATCATTTGGAACAGCTGAATTATAGCCACTTAGCCGTTTCATTGTTCTCCTAGGTTTGAAATTGTACAATCGGAAAGACCCCTCGTTGAACGACCGCTGGAACCTGATATCCATGAAATTTGGTTTCGACAAATCAGAGCGGAATTGTAATAAAACGGGACGATGTCAGTCCTCGAAATGAAAAATGGTGGTCACGGTATGAAATTAATTATTTCCCCCGTTTTCATTCCGTGCAACTAACAATAAGTCCCGGGAGTTTTCACAACGATGAAACGGCTCGTTAATTTCGATTATAAAAGTCACGTGTTTCCTGAATCAAGGTGCTTGGCCCCGTGGAGGCACACGTTTCTTGATATACGACTTCTAGGACCGCCGAACCCGGCATTTAATAATCCATGAAGACAACGCGGATGAGAATAAAAATGGCCGGACGGCCGTGATTATCGTGCATCGATCTGTTTTCCGAACCGTTCGACTGCTTCCACGGTAATTCTCTTTATTTTCGGTATCGTGGAACACGGTTTTCGTTGCGCAGGGAAACTTTTTACGTGAACCCGCACGAAGCGATACGCTTGGAAGATAAATTAATTTCCGGACTATCCGATCACGAACACGAAAGGGGTAATTACCATTCGCCGTTTCAGAGACCTTTCACACGGGATACCGAACAATTCATCGATCGAATCTCACAATCTAATCATAGATTTTCTATTCAAAACGTAAACCAAGAACAAAATAGTCTGGTATATAATGATTCTTAAACGATTTTTGATTTCCGTAGAAAGTGACTTTTATTGTCTTCCTACTTTGCATGATAATTGACTATTAATTAGCATTCCTTATAAGCTTCCATTAAACATTCTCTCACGGTTATCAAACTTAAGAACCCGAGATTAAGTTTCACTTTGCATTCATCAGATTTCGTTAAACTTTGATTAACTCGGGATAAAAATTAACTAAGTGTAGTCTGACAGCGCATAGTCTGACCATGGTGGCACTTTCCACTTACGCGGACATGGCTTCCCACACTTTTCTCCTAATTTAGAATCACACAACCACTCCAGAAGTTACGACATTAAATTTTCGTTTGTACTAGTTAACGTTTACTTGCATCTATAAACTAAAATAAATTTGAAAATAAAGTTAAACTGAGCAACCACACAGTAGTTACTATATTATTTCGACTTCATACACGTCAGTATTGGAGCTAACAACATCGCTTAGAGGGAAGCCACTATACTGTCACACAGTGGTCCAAATCAAAATTTAATTCAGCTCAATAATCAAGAATTTTGAAAATTTTAAATTTCGTTCAAATAGAAGTAGATAAACGAACAAAGTTTCATCAATATTAGGGACTTTCTTCGATTATTTACTAACAGTGTTCTCAACATCTTCATGAAAGTTCGATTGTTTCGGAAATTTCCTTTCTATTCTTGACAGAGATTGATGATAAGAAATAGTCTGAGATGAACCATAATGCTCGGAACTCACAAATCGAATGGTAATAACAAATTTCTTTTATCTTCCAAAAAGCTGACATCGACATATTAACCAAAGAAGCTTCATTCCATCATGCATTCATCTCACACCCTTCCTCATCATTAAACTGCGGATTTTCTGAATTTACAGCCTATAGGATTCTGTGAAAATCAATAAAAGACGAAACTTATATCTGACACAAGCTTCTGTTTTGTTCTGAACCTAAGAAGGTACCGAGAAGAGGAAAAAAATTTCTACATTCGTTCTAGTCTTAAGGACCTTTATAAAATATCATTTTTCATAAAAATCCGCAGTCCACTTATCATCAATTTCCCTTAAGAAAAGAATAAAAACTCCTGAAAAATGTAAACTTTAATAAAGACATCGAGAACACTGTTAGGGAATGATGACCTCATCTTTCTCGGATTAAAATTTCGATCAATGGACGGTCAATAGATTTACAATCCTTACCAGAACCATTCTGGGATACTGCCTGGCGGTGACGAAGTGCCCATTGAGGTCGATGACCAATAGGGTACGATCTCTCATCCAGCCAGACTTCAGGCCAAGTTTCACGCACTCCATGGTGTTCATGCGTACAGGACCCAGCGATTTCACCGGATACGCGATCAGGTTGCTCAGCTCTCCGACCTTCCGCCATCGCGAGGGCGGCCGATCCTTCTGGCCTTTGGTCCACCACCACCACAAGAAGACGACCACCGTCCCGGCGCCGACCACGACTGCCGAGACGTACGTCAGCCGCGTTCTGTCTGCTCGTGAAACATCCACCGATTAATTCTCAACGGTTAACTCTTCGAAGCACAGGATTTTACAATAAATAAATACCTAGTTGCACATACATATTTTTGTATGAAATGTGTCAAAATATTATTCTACTTGAATTATGTTTTATTTTTAGTTATTCCACGATTTAAAGGTGGTAGGAATAACGTCTCACTATGCGAATTGGCTATAAAAAAAAGGTGGGACTTTTTTCATACCACCGTGCCTCAAAGAGTTAAGTGGCCATCCGCAGGACCACGGTCCGCTGCGGAACCATTGACTTGGAATTACGATCGTACGTCGAGATGAAAACTACCAGCATCGATATGGCTAATGCGAGCATGCGTTGTTGGTTGGAACTGACGAGCTTATGGGATTTATGGAAGAATTTTTAGGAATTTCGATGCTTCACGCTGAGAACTACCTTACTTGATGGCTGTGAAATGAATGCTGAAGTAATTTGTAGGTATGGGAAGCTACTGTATGGCGAAATATTTTCTCGATAGGGATTCTAATGTTCTGTGGATGCTTTAAGTTGACATTGTATCGATTCCTCGTTTAATATGATTTCTCTAATTATGTGAGAGATTCTTTTGTAAGTTAAATTAATTTGCAACTTAACTGTAACTGGATTGTGGGTTTCTGTAGATTAGTTTGGTAGTCAGATAGCAAAACGTGATATCTGTGATGTCCTTAATTTTACAGTACGGCAATTTTAATGTTTGTTCAGCTGTGAGAAATTACAAAGTTGCTGAAAGTATAATTTATTTATTAGTGGTTGTCAATTCAAGTTCCGTCAATTGATTTATGTTCGTTCTTAAATAATCTATCCTTCATTTTCCCAATTTAATTTTCCCCACGGTGTAACAATGACATAATGGTGAAAAATTAATACAATGAAGCGATAAATAGTTAATTTGCAAATTCTTTAAAATCAAAGTCACGGAGCCTCAGATAAATTTACCGACATATGCCAGAATATCATAATTTCTTCCGAAAAAGGGGGAAAAGTGACACTGAATGGATGCGGTTTAAACATCTCAGGATATAATCGCATTTTGCTATCTGATTTTATAAAATCAGGAATTACAGAGAATTTATTTCTTCTATCACGGCCATCATTATCGTGCACACAAATTAAAAGCATTTCTTCAAACCCACGAAGTTCTCCCATTTCATTATGCTCCGAGCATCCACGTGTACTCCAAATGTATACGATTCGCAGTCGAATGAAAACCAACGCCGTTGCATTCCACAGAATGCTTAATAACTCCTCGCGATTCTTATTTTAGCCCCGTGGAAACATGAATATCTCTTCGATGCGTGAAAGAGTGACGACTACAGTGTAACCGAGGCAACCTTTTCAAATGCGAAATCTTCGGTAGCTGCTGTACATCTTATCGTTCTTGCAATTACAAATTGTCTTCCATGAGTTCCTCCCCGGTGCTGTTACGCGCGGTTTTTCAAAGACGTCATCGGACGAACGCGCGCAAACAAGAGTTCCGCCGATCTGCAATGCAAATCTACGACCAGAAGCGGCCGGCCAGGAGGAACAGAGACAAAAGGAGACCCCCGACGTGTGTTCCTTGTTCCTGAACGTTGCACACCAGGCTTTCGTCACTACCTAAACCCGTGGCAACCAGAGCGTGAAGCTTTTTTTGCGCCTGTGTTACTCGGATCTATCGCTGGCTAAGCGAATGGACATTCAACGCGACCGTAATGACGCTTGTCTAGGCGACTCGTGATATCTGCGTCGAAAATGCAGAATCATTCCCGAAGACGCGTCACTTCGTACTCTAGACGATTGTTACACTTACTGACAGCAGACTCAGCATTTTAACACTAACCGTACAGAGACTTTTATATACCTATTTGTACCCTATATGTATAGGCGGTCGGTACGGTTAGTGTTAAAAGTTACCTCACAAAGGGACTTCGGTACTCTGGAAATTCTGATTTTTTTTTTATCTCGGAAGGTTTATAGTGGACTTTAATAGAAGCATCGGGCACTTTGACGTTTTCGCTTGACATTCAGTTCCTTGGGGTGAAGCCACCCTTTAAAGGTTAATGTGTCTTCTTTACTTTCCTTGTATATTTTGAAAACTATAGTAGACATAAAAGAATTGTTAGAATGAAAATTTAATGGGTTTTTAGGATGTATAAACGTGTGCGATAAAATTGTTAAAAAATTGTTTTTAAATAAATAAGTAAGTGAACAAACGAATTTTTAAAAATTGTATTACGCACTTTTATAGAGCAGGAACCATTGAATTTCCATCGTAACAGTTTTTTTATATCTAGCAGGACCTACTTCGCACATGCGTATTTCTGTTTGCCGAATTCCTTATCGACTCTGACAAACATGCGATTCGATAACGCCTCTCGAAGAAAAAATCTGAACCAGTTCAATCTGGGGATCTAGCGGGTCAATGTTAATTGCTTGTTCACGTTAAATTCAACGATTTAGTACACGTTCATTCGGATTGCGCCTAATCTTGAACAAAACATTGGATCGGAAACATTGATATACTTTTAAGAGTGTTTACAAAAAGCATGTGTACATTAACTATTTCCTAAAAAGAACTAGATAGAGACCTTGTGCACACATTGTACTTTAAACTTTTCATGAAATCCGATAACATTGATGAACTCTCAGTTTTCTTAATACATCAGAACTCACGCTCTCTTTTTTAAAGGTAAAGAACACTCATACAATAATTTATCCCATGTTTTCATATATTATTCATGATTGCTTATCGATCACTGCATTACGTAATGGTTAAAATCTTTTCAGTGAGGCAGTTAAAGAAAATGAAAAAAAAAAAACAGGTCATACGAGCTACTGTCGTATGAAATGCAAAAGTTGTAAATAGAAGAAGGCAACACGCCGAGGAAAAATGGAATCACTACTAACTTATTCGACGTATTCTAAATATAACTCAGCTACCGTGATAATGAACTGATTATTATTGAAACGAATTAGAAAAAATGTTCACGGTACAAATGCCGGTGGATTAAGAATGAGAGTTTCACGCACTGGGTATTTATGTAGACTTCAGTCGAGCGTTGCTCTATTTCCAAGACATCGACGATACGATCGCCAACGGTATCGAAACGGTTTTATCGAATCGCACGGAAGTCCCGGTTGGTTATCGACGAACCAGATAGGGACGAAATAGTGTTATTACCGATAATTGAAACTGGAAACGACGTTCTTTCATCTTGCTAGAACTCGGAGCGACCATAATATAACGGAATACGGCATAACATGACGAGGCAGCTTGCACAATTTGTTCGTGCTAAAGTGTCCCATATCGATAATACTGTCGCGGGAAAGTAGGTGTAAGAAGTCTGTGTGCAGTTTCGGAAACGTGCATAGAATAGTGCATTTTTTTCCTTTTTCCCGTGACACATGCCTCTAGTTTCCCCAGCGTCTACTTATCCAGTGGATATCTGCAACATCTTCTAATTAAATTTTGAACTTTGGAGAGTAACTATGTAATAGAAACATATAGCACTCACACATTGATAAGCTAAGGTCAAACTAACTCGGGCAATTCGATGTATCCCGATATTTACAAATAACAGTAGAACGACGGTTATTCGAATATCAATTGTGAATATTTTTTGCAATGAATTATGCAACGCTTTGATTGGTCAATGCAATGTGCACAACTTGAAGATTCAATTGTGATAACATTCAGAGATGGTTAGAGTACGTAAAGGTAATCCAAGATATGAAATTATGGACCTATACAACATTCTTTCATTTACTTTGGTTGACGAAAATATTACCATCTTTATGCTAAATAGTACCATTTTTATTGCCATACGATCTTCTGTGGAATAAATCCATCTTTCGAAATTGGATTCGTACCTAACCAAGACACATGAAACTTTGGTCTCCTGGACCAATTGTTCGTTCCACTAATCGACGTTTTACTGTAGCATAATTTCTGTTCTACCAATGACACAAAGCATAATATATTTTTGAATATTCTCCTATATTCGAAATAACAATCTAATTAGTTACTATTTGAATATTAACATGTCCTATATCACAACCTAATGGATATGGATTTCTGTGGTTCGAATGATTCACTTCTTCACTGTCCCTAAATATTAAACATCCTGGTAAACGTCACCCTACGCGGTGACGAATAACCAGAAGGTGCAGCGTTCCATTCGCTATCGATTTACTTTTTCCGTCGTGCATGTCGCGAAAAGAAGGGAAATCGTTCCTGGGAACGGTCCGATGAGACACGTACCCTTCGCGCGGAATCAATAACACCACGGGCGTTGCTCTCTGCCACCCGTGAACAACCATGCGAATGATTCTAATGAGGATGCTGAAACGCGACTAGGTTCGCGTCAATTAAGCTCTCTGTACGAATTACATCATCGTTCACCGAACTTCATGAAATTGCCGTCGGAGATAAAGCTTACCGCAACGTAATATCGGTCACTGAACACAGATACGCACGGCTCGATAACCGAATATTAAATTCAAACTCAAAGAAAAAAAGCGAGGAACGCACAGTCGCGGGGACGTTCGACGAAGAAACACGTTTCTCCGGGGAGAAGGCGGTATATACGCGAGAAGTAACGCGAGTTTTCCGTTTAGTTGACCCGCGTGCACCGGGCCACATGTCGCGATACAGTGACTTTTTGCTAGCGACCGGTTTGCAAAGTAAGAAAAAGACTAGAAAGAAGCGTATCCTTGAACATTGAATTCTGCTCGTGAAGTCAAGTTACAATTGACAGAAATGTATACGATAAACCAGACACGATTAAGTCATAACCGTTCCCAGTTCGACCTTCATCGATGAATTTCGCATGACGACGAATCAGCGCGAGATGAGATTAATAATAGCCGAAGAAAAAGTTCAACGGTCTACAGATGCGGCACCATATGTATCGCGACGGACGAACTGGATATAAAGTATGGAAAGCTGTATATTTACCCAGAACCATCGTGCAAGGCCGCCGTAATCACGGACAAGCGAATCGAACTGTTGTGTGTCTGCCGGTAGACGACGAACTGCCGCTAATATGGGTTTCCAGGGAGCACGCGACCGCGTCTCTTCCTCGCGACGAAGACACCGTTATGTATACACGCTTACGTTCTGCTACCTCCCTTCCCCATTGTAGTATGAGCAGTCGGTGCACTCACGGCGGCACTGCCACGTGTGAGGAGCCATCGAACTGCATCCAACTACGAAACCCTGATAATTGCTATCTACCTACACGCTATAGTGCCATTAGGACATGCGCATCTTGGATGAATTACCCGAGCAACGCGCCCATTCGAGAGACCCGAACGAATCCGCTCCCCCACGAGGCTGACTCTCGTTTTGGAGTCAGGCCTGCCCGCGACATTGGAACGACGAAAACAAAGCGACTAATCTCACGACGCTGTGAAACCATTCACTTTTTATTGAAAGGAATTCTGCTTTTGTTTTCTTCCGATATAGTTATATTAAGAGTGAATGCTTTTGTGAGACTGTTTAACCTTCATACTCTGTTGGAGTACATATGAAAAATTTACGAGGAAAGGTGAGTCTGAACAGTGCTCTTGATATTACTTAGCAGATAATTCTTTCAATTTGCTAAACAGACGCGACGTTATTAAACAATACACGAATTTTAAATTGTATCGTTGTAAGAATTCGGAAGAGTAGAAATGGAAAGAGTACTGTAGGAAATATGTTTACAACGGACGTGTGGTTAAAGTCATTCGTTAATATGATGAACAATGATTTGCTGGAGAGTGAAAAAATAATAATAAATATTATTGTTTAGCTGGCAATAGCATAGTAATTAAATTTGAAAGATTGAAGGACTTCCGCTATTGACTTCCGCTATTCCAAGGGTTACGGCATTGAATAGGATTTGGAGAACACAATGTATTATTATGTAAAAGTTGTGATAGAATTTTCAGAATGTTTAAACTTTGTGGTTACTACAGACTACGTTTATTTATAGAAAGAAAAAATGAAATGAAACTGAACGTAGAAAATACGAAATGCACGAATTCGTTCTTTTGAAAAACCCGCCACGAGTACTACGCATGTTCCCACTGGGGAACCACCGACGTTGGTAGTAATCAACTGTCATACACCAGTGATAGACGTAGAAGTTGTTGGTACTAGGGGAGGTGTTTTGGTTCCTTTAAATTGTCTTTTATTCATATGACAGTGCGTTGGTTGATCGTTTGGTTCACAGATGCAACTTTCTAAAGGAAAACAACGTTGATTATAAAAAACGCGGGCAGTTTCGACAAAAAGTGTTGATTACTTCGTTCGCGTCCCCTGATTTCGTTAAGGTAAGTCACCAAAACTGATTATTGTCTACTCCAACGAATTCCAATACTCATTTTTTCCTGACGATCGTTTTTCTTATTCAATTCAATAACGTCTTCCAAGCATAAACAATAAATTCTTGAAGAACTGTCATCTTTTTGAGGTTAGAAACTATGACGTTTTATGAATCAAACTGTGAAAGTGACTAGACTCTATATAGTCTCTGAGTGCTTTGTTTAGACGATCGATGTTCGTTTTGTTATTCGTCATTTTAATAATTTTTTTCGTACTATTCCCACATCAGTGTACCTATACCTTGAGAAAATGTCTTATTTTCAGTGTTACTCACCATGATAACAGATAATATAATCAAGTTACAAACAGAATTTTATCAATGGATGGTAGATTCTAGTATATATATTTCTTTAGTGCAATACAAATACAAATTGAGGACATTAATTTGTTTCTATTACAGCCTTCGCTATGCCAATTTTGTATAGTGTTGTGGCTCGCGGGCCAATTGTGCTTGCAAAATATGCTGCCTGTGATGGAAACATGGAAGAAGTCACAGAAAAGATACTGGCTATGATTCCTCCGCAAAATGATAAGTTGACATATACTCAGGGGCCTTATCTGTTTCATTATATCTGCGAAGATAATATTATCTACATGTGCATCACAAATGATGTAAGTAATCAGGAGAATCTAAGATTACTTGTCAGATTCAAAATACAATGTCTTGATTTTTCAGGAGTTTGAAAAATCCAGAGCATTCCTATACCTCTCGGAAATCAAAAGAAGATTTATGGCTGTGTACGGCCAAGGAGCACATACTGCGATAGCATATGCAATGAACTCAGACTTTGCTAGAGTTTTAGACAATGAAATGGTAAAAATATAATCTTTGCATATTCCGAAGCATTCATCTTCTATATCCTTGAGCAAAAATATTCTCTGTTTAGAAATATTACAGTGAGGCGAATAAGGAGATCGATGTATTATCCAAAGTTCATGGTGAATTGCATGAACTGAAAGACATAATGGTACAGAACATTGATAATGTGGCCATGCGCGGAGAACGATTAGAACTACTCATAAATAAAACGGACAATCTAACTGCTAGTGTAAGTACGATTGTATTGCCATCCTCGATAAAAAGTACAAAGGAGAGCGGTTATTCTCACCTATTTTTTTTAGTCGATTTCGTTTAGAAAAACCAGCAGAAACTTAGCGCGCTCATTGTTCTGGAAAAACGTTAAAATCTATGTGATAATGGGCGCTATTCTTATTGTAAGTAGGTGACTTCATCGTCTTCGATACAACTTACTGTACTAAACCCTATTAAATGCAATTGACTTTAAATCTGGCAGGTTGTCCTGTACGTTATTGTGTCGATATCTTGTGGAGGTCTGGCCTGGCCAAAATGTGTTGGGAATTAATGGACATACATAACATTAAGACATGTAATCCGTTTCCCGAAATATGATGGAAATTCCTCTCGCTACAATGTATTGGTCGTTTGGTACGGGGAGGAATAATTTGCGAGGAATCTGAGGAGAGCACGGTGAAAATTCAAATTCTTGGTTCACTCTGTACATAAGAAACTGATAATGTTCGATCCTGCGATAAGTATGTAGACAAACATTGAGTACCGTTAGGAACATTATATATAGATATAAATATGTCTAACGCTTATATTATTTTTACTATATTACCAAAAAAGATGTCGATATCGTTTATATGCTCGAAGCGATGATTGCAACTTCAACATCGCCTATGTATATTGTACTATATAAATGCGTTCTACGAACGAATAAAAACGATTCTAATACACAACTTTTCAGTCAATTCATTATGAACTTCCGGCAACCCTCGCGAGTGCAACAAGTGAAGGTCACGACATCGTATTCTTTATCCCTCGCCAAAGTTTTTGTTACCCGGAGAATCGTCGTATTGTTGGGCGTGGCGCTTCCATTTTCAATCGAGTCAGAATCACCCCAGAAATTTACCGAGCACCCGTCTCTTCCGGACCATTAAGTGCATGAGATTTTTTCCAGGCGGAAGCGTACGATACATAGGGCGCGCAATGTTCTTTTCGTAGTAACGGCGGGCGCATGCTCCGATGTATTTTTCATTTCTCCAATAGCCTGTGACTAGAGGCAACGAAACCCTGGGCAGACTAAATTCAAATGATTGTACAGTGTAATTTATGACATTAAATATATTAAATATTTTCCATCTAATTAATTGTACCAGGAAAGTGAACAACAACCGAAATGTAGAGTTCCAGGAAAACGAGTATACATTCGATACAAATGATTCCGTACATTCGTGAGAAAATTCTAGCATCGGAAAAGGATTTTTCTACATGTGGATTTCGAAATATTTACTAGAAAGTGAAGACACTGTTTTTAAAGGTTTATTCCTTCGTGAGTGATGAAAGTCGACATAAAATCTAACCTTTTTTTTGAAGGTCCCAAATTAACGAAAATACATAATTGTTTCTTTCGATACAAACTTATATTCATAATAGTAGAAAGCTATATGTATAACATTCAATTCGAAAGTCTTCTCAGGTTCTGTATTCAAGATGAAAGGAATAACAAACATATCCTCCTCCACGCTCCAATCTTACAAGAAACCATTCAGAGACAAATAAAACCACCCCTAGTTATCGAATGCCTTCAGTAGCATTATGACGAGTCGTAAACACGGGGAACAGCGGTTGATACGGTCCTGGTCTCGAACCGGCGTCGACAGAACCGGCGCGCGGGACGGGTGGCGGCGGCGGCGGCATATCGCAGGCGCTGTCGTCGCGACGCCCGGGCCATCGCAGCAGCCCGGCGGCACTGGCAGGATGTCGATGGCTCGCGTGGCGCGCCCTTCGGGGGGTGCCAAAGTGACTATTCCGTTGGCTAGCCGCGATTGATCGCGCCTCGTCGTCCCTGAACCCGCTTCGCAGAAAACCACTTTCCCATTGGCAAGGTCGTCGCTCAACAAGTTCCGTGGCCGTGTGTGGGCGGGCCGGCCGGCGATCGGGGGCGACCGCGAGATTAATCGAAAGAGGAGGAACGAACGTAACCAAACCACCCTACGGGACGGCGAGAGTTGTTCGCACGCGTGATAAACCAACGATAGAAACAAACAAACAAAAAAGAAAAAAAAAACAAAAAAACAATTACGAGCGCGACGGAGTGAATTGGGTACTGTCTCTCTCTCTCTCTTCCGAGCACGCGCGCGTCCGTGCACTCGCCCGTTGCAGCCCTGTGTGTGGCCCTGGTGGTGGGTGGATGCGCTCGCGAGGGTCAACGGCGCGAGGTGATTACTTGTGGTGCGGTGGTCGGTGCGTGGCACCCACGTTGCTGACGACTTGTGCGTGTGTTGTTTACCGAGGGGGGCGCCGTTCCGTGTAGTGGGTGGTTTCTCGTGCGGTGGTTGGAGGACCGTTTTCGCGGCCGGGCATGGAACCGCGGAGGTTCCGGATACCGGAGACGAGGTGACCGGGGCCCCGGTTATCGCTTTGACTCTCGCCGATCGGATGTCCGCGCGGGAGGGCAGCAGAGGTACTCTACGTGCCGTGTGGATGAAAGTGAAAACGAATTGGCCCGCGAACATGGGGGGATGAGCCGTGGATACGCTACGTGGAGAACGTACGCCCCGCCGCCGGTGCGAGATTCAGACCCCGTAAGTGGATTACCCCATTGTGGTCCGTCCGTTGCTGTTTGCCTCTTACCCGATTGTATCTTCTTTCCTGTATTTCTTCCCTGTTTCGAATTCCGTTCGCGACGAACGACGTGTCGGTGGGATTAATTTGAAATTGCTCAGAGTTGGAGAGCTCGAAGGTTCGTAGAATTGTATTAATATGAATTGTTTGTATTCATTTTGTTACGATGAAATGAGGGGTCTAGTGCAGGAGGGAGCTATGCCCATGGAATGTTGAAAAATTAGATTTGTCTAGATATTATCCCTTGCGATCGTAGTATAGTATGATGTACACTGCGTTTTATGAAAGCCTGTTGTGGTATAGTTTCCTGTTGCACTGGACCCCTAAAATGTGACGTAGAAAGTATCGTGACAAAGCTCGCTTCCGTGTTTGTATCCCGATACGTAGATCGTGTTCCCCTAATTCTCGAGCTAATTATACTTTCCTCGATGGTTCCTATTGCGATAACAGGGTTCACGATTAGCTGTACCCACGGAGCAGTGTTTCGTGTCGCGGTCACAGATATAGTATTAATATATCGACGTAAAAAGCCAATGAACCGAGCATGAACTTCGGATGGAAATGCCCTGAGTTTTCCGGCACGCGATACAACTGACGGAAAATCGTTGCTGCGGATCTCTGGGAAAAGCGCGACTATATCACATAGCACCGGAAGATTGCACTCGGTATATCACCTTGGTGTAGAATCGGCGTATCGATTTGGGGATGCGTCCTTTAAATTATCGGAAACAGTACATACGGCTATAGATATCTATTCAAATAGCAGAATTGCGTGGAGACAGCGTATCTTCTCGACTGGAAATATGTATCGTGTTGGTAGAATATGTAATATCTTATCTTTATTACTGCATTTATTATTGCAATTTGGACGCTGGTGCGTGGGTCCACTTTGACTCAAATTTTTAAGATCTCTCTTGAATGATTCTCTTGAGTTTACATTTTTTTATGTCATTATCTGTCAGTCTCGTGGAGTATGTTCTAAAATAGATATTCAGGAAGATCGCTTTAGCAACTAATTGGATATGAAAATTCAGGATACTAACGATAAATACATTTGCATGGCATAATAACCACTTCCAGTGACATATAATGAAAATCCCACGTATACCATGCAGCCAATTTTCACGGTTCCATTGTGATTGACGTTCTCGAAACATATTCAAGCTATTTTCAACATCAGCATATGGAAGCAATAACAACGTATAATTGTCCAAATTCACAATCGTATAATCTGATCAGCGAAACCAGGAGTTGTACAGAAATTTATTTCCTCCATTGAGAGTTTTATTTTACCTAAGTATGTCCACAAACAACTTCAATAATTCGATAGGTATTAAAGTATAATTCCATGTGGATAATTGTATTTTATGAGAATAATTCAAATACTGCAACAACATCGAAGAGCATATTGGGTACACTCGTTGCATCTTTAAAGACGTAAAAAAAGGGACCAAGTAATCGTGGGCAAACGAGAAAGGGAACGAACCCACGAAATATTTTCTACTTCACTCGACTGGTCGAAGGATAGAAGACTTCTTACCCTCTACATTATCTCCCCCACGGCCCGTAATATTACCGTAACGTGCACGGGGCGCCGTTTGATGGAGAAATATTCGATGCCACGTACGCGAGCCATAAAACGTCCCGTGGAACGGGAGGGTCCGACGGCAGTGTGGCGTTCTGAACGTTCCCGAACAGGAAGAATGCTCATTGACGTTCGGGTCTCCGAGGTCTTGGGCGAAGTGACGTCTCATTGGTCCGTGGCTAGATCGCTCGCTCGAAAGACAAATGTTCTCGGAAGCCTTCAACGCCCCTGGGGATCCCGGACCCCTCGAATTTTATGCAAAATATTCGGTAACTTCCTGCAGAACGCGCTAATTCTCGTGTAGCTCGCCTTCGGTTCCAGCTTATTTCGGTAATTGCTTCTTGCTTTATTTATTGGGACAACTTATGGACCTCCGAATTATATCTGGTAGTTCAGAAATTAAATAATAAACCGCGTGCTAGCTTATCAGAATGTAAGTTTCTGAAAACAGAAATTACATAGGAAGTTATTTCTTGAATAAATAGAAAATTATTACTCCGTGTTAAAATTAACGTTGTTCAACGAGTCCTAAAATAATGGAACTAAACGTGGTTTTATTGTGTTAATTGAAGGTTGCTGAACACGATGCTGGTTTTAGTTTTTCACTACATGTCACATTTCCTCCAGTTTATGCGTGCAATTGAATAGGAATTGGCTGGCGCGTCTGTTCATTGCATTCTGTTTCTACTACCAAAAATACACGCGTTTCAGATTAATTTTCAAAGTCGATTTTCTCGACAACGAAGTTTCAAGTGAAATCATTTTACTTGTATATTTTCGACTTATTTTTTTAATAATTTCAAAAGTTTCTAAATATAATATACAGATAGAGGCACAGTAGTAGCGTGTCGTCCGAAACAATCACTTATATGGTTGGTCACGAAGTTATACTCGCTGATTTTTCTGACTTAGCTGAATTGTTTACGGGATTAACGACTTGTGAATGTTAAGGGAGAATCCACCCTTTTTATCCAAAGCGTCCCTTTCACTCATTCGCTTGTAACTCACGAACTATAAAAGATATCGAAAAAATTGTAGACAAATTTGACATCGTTTATAATTGTCCATATGTCGGTCAAAAGGATGTTTAACAAAATTATTTTTTTTGAAAATTGTTGAAAATAATTTTTTAAAACCCTGTTTCCTATCGACATATGGACAATTAGAAACAATACAAAATTTATCTAAATGTGTTATGGATATTTTTTATCATTTATGAGTTAGAAGCGAATAAGTAAAAGGGGCGCTACAGATAAAAAGGGTGGTTTCTCCATTACTGTCTAAAACTAGCACCAAGTGAGACAAACTTCTTAGGTTGGTCTCACAAACAACCGAGCAAAATTATAAAAAATGTATCCCCTCACGAGCATTTATTTTTATCGGAAATCCACCACAGCGATGCGTAAATATCGCCTTCGAGCAACCGATTACGCCCGTTAAAAGCGTCCAAAGAGTCAACCCCAATAAACCAAAAAAGAGAAACTTCGGAAATTGAATCGGTTAGGTCC